TTGCTTTTCTGTGTTTTCCTCAGAAGGACCACAATAAATTGGGCTTTCCACTCATGCGTCCATCATGGTTCACCATTCCATTAAATTAAAGAGTTTTCCTTTTTGTTTGTCCCATCTGTTCTTTCTTCTCTGAGAATGTTTAAACAAAAAACAAAACAAAAACATTATGCTGGGAAGAGATGTTGCAAGCCTGTGTGTTCTCCTTCATTTTGGTCCTGAATATAGCTATAAATTGGCTGAATTGATCTGGATGTAAAAGTTTTATGCATAAGAAGAAGATCAATCCTGGGCCCAAAACACAGTGAAGAAATTATTCAGTTTGAGATCACTGTAACTGCCGTGGCTCAGAAAACTACAGTTCCCAGAATCCCCTAGCATTAAGCCAAGGCAATTAAAGTGGTGTCAAACAGGATTCTTTCTGCAATGTGTTTTGGCCCCTAGGCACAATTTTCTAAAGTGCTGAGAGTTAGTTCCTAGCTATTTAAGGCTGCAAAATTACATATGCATTCTTGGATGTCCTGTTCATTCTGCACCCTCCTTTCTTCTCCTCATTGCTGATTTAACTGAGTACAAACTGCTTCTGCACTTGGAACTCACTTTGCTGCAACTGAGCAAGCTAAGAACAAAAGGGGAACCTGGGGCATTTTTAAAGGTGCTGAAAAACTGGGATGACAGGATTGAGACTGTTCTTGCCAAATCAGAGCAGTTGGGAATATGAAACCTTTCTATAAGTGATTTTCTCTTTGTGTCACAGTTTGCAGCTACAGAGTGTTCATTAGGATCATAACAGTGGAAAATGTTCACAGACTGGCTGATCTAGGGGCTCATTCCGACTTACATTTAACCCCGTTTGCAATTCACTTTTTCTCTGGGTTCATGAATCAATTCCAGTCGATGCGTCATTCCCACTATGGAAGCGGGTCTTTTCTTGATTCGCTTCTTTTTTGGCACAATTGTCGTTCCCACTAGTTTGTGCCCCTTCAAAATGTCTGACAATAATCTATGCATCATCGGTGACGCAACCAGCAACACATTCAAGAAAACACAGGAGGGAGTCATGGGTGCTGTGGCCAGAATCCCATTCCTCATTAGTTTCAAGGGAAATCCACTATTTTCCCCCCTCTCCTTTCCCGGGACCTGTTCTACATTCCAATTTTTTGTCCAGGAGGAATTCCAAAAAACCCTCCATTCTGAGCTTGACTAGGAAGCATGTCCTCCAAGTCCTGCAAGGCTGAGAGGTCACCACCTCAACTGTCCATGTCCTCCAACTCCTGCAGGGCTAGGGGGGCACCACCTCAACTACCATGTTCCCCAAGTCCTGCAAGGCTGGGAGGTCGCCACCTTAACTCCCCATGTCCTCCAAGTCCACTGGGATGCATGCAGCCATGGCTGTCATATGGAGGACTCTCCCCTGGGTGAGGTACTGCCTTCACATCCTTGTAGGACTTGGAGGACATGGAGAGTTGAGGTAGTGCCCTCCCAGCCTTGCAGGACCTGGAGGACATAGGGAGTTGAGGTGGTGCCCCCCTAGCCTTGTAGGACTTGGAGGACATGAGGAGTTGAGGTGGTGGCATTTTGGAATTCCTCCTGGACAAAAGGTTGGAAAGTCGTGGGAAAGGAGGGGGGAAATGACGAATTTCCCCCAAAACCTGTGAGGGATGAGATACACCCCTCTACAAACCCACTGCCCCAGTAATCCCTCCCATCCAATTTGATGCAATTCAGGTCCTTTGTTCCCACTTGCTGAACACGCTTTCTAATCGCTTCTTTCCAAAAGAATCATAAAAAAACTAGTGTCAGGAAAGAGTGTTTCTTTTGTGTTTGCCTCGCTTCATCGTGATTGAAACTGAGTGCAGTCGGTTTGGAACCAGTTTCAAGTGGGAACAATAGACATATAACCTGATCAGCAATTCGTTTTAAATCATAGTCAAATCAAGGCCCAGGAGTGATGACTATAACTGTTCAGTTGCTCAGGGATCTAAGAACAGTTTATGCTCTAGCCTTTATGAGGGTAAGAGAAGTTGTTCATTTGGCTAGACTTAAAATCTGAAGAAGGATTGCCTAAATTCCCTTCAGTTAGTATGCTAAGAACTTCAGCAAAATTCAGCTATCCAGGCTATATATCAACAGTAGTTATTAGTACAGGGGTAGCCAGTAAAACCCACAGATAGCACTACTTTTCTGCAGTGGTGGGATTGTGTGGTCCTGTGAGGCAAGAGGTTATGCTGACAGCCAGCATTGCTACTAATAGGGTCTCCCATGTCAGACAGCTTTTTGCTGAGGAGTCAGACTAAATGTGCCAAACAGTTACTGAGCAGCAGGGATAGTGAGAGGTGACACTAGCAGAGGATCTCTCAGAGACAACAGAGTGGCACCATAGCGAACACTTGTTGGTACTGTGCAAAAAGAGGCACAATAAACCCCTTTTGAAAGTCTTTTACCATGAAAACCACATGATGAAAGAATCCAAAATGAAACAAGAGAAAGTGCCAGAAGATTAAAACTCCAAGGTTGGAGGGCACTCAACAAGCTACTGGTGTACAGCAGAGGAAACTATGAGTAGCACTATGGCTAATGACACAACTGGATTCAAGCTGAAAGGAGGTTTAACTGTTGACTTGTTCAGAGGTAAATGGAAAGTCCAAAGCTACACAACACATATTATACAGACATGGAATGCAAGACGCATGAAACAGGAGAAGCTAGAAATCATTAGATGTAACTTCTCCTAATGTCAAGATGACTGAACTGAAGCTGTCATACTTTGGAAATATCATGAGGAGACACAACTCTCTACAAAAGACAATAATGCTTGGTAAAGTAGAAGACAGTAGGAAAAGAAGAAGATTGCATTCCAGATGGATAGACTCAATCAAAGAAGCCATGGCCTACAATCTGAAAGCCCTTAGCAGAGTGTTGATGATATAGTAACTTGAAGGTCTCTCATAAGTTGAGGTCAACCTGATGGCAGTTGACAACAACAATCCACTAAAAGCTATATGTTTTCATACCGACCTCTAATGGTAATTTAAGTTGCACATGCTAGTGGCTGAAGAAATCTATGTTAACAATCAAGCCAGCTTATTATACAGTCATCCCTCCGAATTCACGGGGGATCTGTTCCAGACACACACACACACACACGCAAATTCAAAATTTTGTGAATATTCAAGTTCCATTGTCCTCAATGGCAGCGCCACTGGGGCAATGGGACTTGAGTATTTTTTTCCATCCATCCATCTCTCCCCCCCATCCCTCCCTCGTCCCTTCCTCCATACCTCCTTCCTCCTCCCCCCCCCCCCCCCCCCCCCCCGCCCCCAGGTAGGCCAGTGCGGTGGAGAAATGGCTGCGCTGGTTGCCTCCAGACCTCCAGGTCTTCGGGGCCAAAGCAAAGCTGTACCAGATGCCCGCACAGCCAAGGAAAGGTCGGCTCAGGAATGGAGGTAAGAGAGGGAGGGAGGGAGCTGCGGGCTTGCCATTCGCGAGTAATCAAAACTGCAAATGGCAAGCCCACAAATCCAGAGGGATGACTGTACTTTATCTAGTAAATTCACCTTGATTGATCAAGAACTATAATTTCACCTAAATCTTTAAACTGTCTATTATAGCATATTATGCAATGTGTAAGAGTATTACATAAGCAAGCAATGCTGTATGCATCATAATAAAACTGTCACACTTATCTTCACTTAACATGCAAAACACCTGAACTTGTACCAAAAATTTTGCTTTGATCTAACTGCATATTTCTTACAAACCTTTCTTGTTGGTTTTAGTTGTGGCCAGTAACTTGTATATTTAGGAGAAGTTGAAAAATATAGTCTGCAGAACTTGAGGTGAAATTAACTGTAACTGCAACAAAATGTGAGGAACAGAGATATGATTTGAAAAGTGGTAGCAACAAAGGTAGCACTGAAAAATTACCACAACCACAAAAAGTGTTTGCATTCTTAGCAAGCATTTCCTACAAACATCATTCAAAATTCCTTTGAATCTCATTGAAGTCAAGTTCTTGTTCTCAAGAACAACATGGTGGGTGATGATAGCAGCAGCAGCCTTTGTGGCAAAAATATTTTGTATATTCCATCTGTTATTGCTACAGGGTTTTTCCCAACAATGCAGCATTAAAAATGCTACTCTGGTTGCAAATCTATTTTACCAATACAGCTTTTTTCAATTCCAACTGGCAGCTTACTGCACATAGATAGTAATGATAAAGGTATTCTTATATTCAACAAAGACCCCATTCTTTATTTCTGATACACTGGATTGACATAATTCTCTGGCATAAATCCCATTGTTATTTTATCCCACTGACCATTATTTACACATAGCAAACAAACATTATTTGAAGCCAGAAAAATCAGAAAGCGGTGCAACGCCTTCATCCTCCCTTGAAACATCAGTTTCCTTCAACCTGAACATAAACTTTTCAATTAAGCACAAAGGGTACAACTGCAGAGAATATGTAAACCAACTGTAAGCACTATCCACCTCCATAAAAAAGAGGGGGGGGGGAATAAACTATGATAACGTATGGAGATATGAGCCTAAATTCAGTTCTTAATCTGACTAGGGACCTTATCGCGTGGGATAAAAAAGCCGGCTTGCCTTTCCCAAACTGAATTCTAATTTGGGCTGCGTCCATGTACTATCATATGTAAATCATTGCCGAATCTGCCAGCTGAATGAAGCCCAGATACAGCCCGGGTCCCCAGAGCGCTTCAGCAGCCATTTTTAAAGTTGGAAAGCTCCCAACTTCAAAAAAGGGCCAGCTGAGCACGCCTGGGACGTGGGCTACATCCGAGCTGTATTCAGCCGGCGGATTTAGCGGTGATTTACATTTGATAGTACCCAAATGCAGTCTGAATTAGAATTCAATTCGGGAAATGTAAGCCAGCTTTTTTACCCCGTGCGATAAGGTGCTAGAGTAAACCTATGCAGTCTACATGTTGATTCACCATTCAGCAATTATTTGAATACATCTACTGTAGCTAAGAGCCAATATGGTGTAGTGGTTTGAACACTAGGCTACAATTCTGGTGGCCAGGGTCAGAATCCTTGCTTGGCCATGGAAACCCATGGAGTAACGTTAAGCAAGTCACACCCTCTCGACCTCAGAGGAAGACAAAAGCAAAATCCCTCTGAAAAAATCTTCCCAAGAAAACCCCCATTATAGGTTTTGCCAGAGTCACCATAAGTCAGAAGCGACTTGGAGGCACACAAGTCAGGCAAGGATCAATAATTTGAAGACAGGAGATTTTGCATACTTTTCATTGAAAGGATGATAAGGTGACAGTTTTGATAGTGCAGTGTGTTTTAATTCTAAGGAAGTAAAACGCAAGACACAACATATACATTTTCAGAAATGGGGCAGCACAAATCCATAAAACCTCTTGATAGTTAAATAAACCTAATATTAAACCTGTTACTGAATTTTGTGATAGGGATTCTTCTTTTCTTAATGAACAACAACAGCAAGGAGGGGGAGACAATGGGGTCACATTCTCATTACTTCCTCTCTCAGCCATAAAACATAGGTGCACCTTGGAGGTGCACCTCATCATTTTAGCAATTTCAGATGTGATTAGGTACCCTTTAGAGATTCAATAAGATGTTACAGAAAAATCAATGTTCTGTAGCATTTGTTTTCTGTTCTGTCACAAGAAGATTCCCTCAAAAAGCCAAAGAATATGAAGGGGGCAAAATGGCAAAACAAATCATGGTGCTATTTATGATAGATTTAATTATCAAAAACAAACTCTGGTGCTCCTTCATAAACTACAGGTATATTTTTTACAAGGACAACACAATTACAGATGGTATGAAATCAAGAATAAATGATGTTGCTTATATTTATATAATTCTTTCTCATCAAAAGATCTTGGGACTGTATGGAAGGTTCTGTCCCAGCCTCCATTTTATCTTCACATCAATGACTTAGTTCAGTCTAGCTTAAAGACTGTATCTCCCTACATGAGCCTGCCCTAAAGATTCTTAGGGGAAGGCTTTCTCACAGTCCCAAAATTGTCACAAGCCCATCTGGTAAGTCCATGGAAAGGGATATTTTCAGTGGCTCTTCCCAGACTATGGAATTTCCATCCAAGAAAGACAAGGCTGGCCTTCTTGGTGGCTGCTCCCAGGCCATGGCATTTCTTTCCATGGGAGACTAGGCTGGAAGGCAAAGAGCTTTCTAAATAGGCATTTGGTGAGAAATGTGTTGGACAGAAGGGGTTTTGTTTTTTGTTTTTTTAAAAAAAAGCAACGCTTAGAAGTGTGTGCTAACTTTATCTTTACTGGGTTTTGTAATGTTTTTAAATGATTTTAATACTTTTTAAAAATATTTGTATTTTAATATGGACACTAATTTAATTGCTTTGTAAAATCATTTTTGTCATTGGGTTTTCTGTTGTGTCTTATTTTAACCTGTTGTAAGACACCTTGAGTCCCATGTTGGAAGAAAGACGGGCTATCAAACAAAGAAATAAACAAACAAGGTTAGTTGGGTCACCCAATGAGCAAAAGGCCCAAATCCAGGATTCCCCTATTTTAGCACTCTAAACTATTTCTACATACTGTCTAGCACACCACCTGGAAATAAATGGGGAAGACAAAATACTAAAAACTACACCAAGGTGTCAGAAGTGTAATAGAACTTTCTTTTCAAAACAATAACTACACAGCTAATGTCAAGAATGCCGCTTTTATTTTCTTCCAATTTTCTTTAAATCCCCCCTATGAAAAGAGAAAGAGAGAGAGAGAAAATCCTTGCCTGGAACCTCAAAGTCTTGTAATTATACCGCTGTGATCCTTTGGTCTCCCTTTAACCTCCATATGTCTTCACTGAGCATTGTTGAAATGCTGACAGGTTGAAATAAGTTGTTAGCTAAATAAGCCTGCGGGAACAAATTCAGAGATTATAAAGAATAACACATGGAAATGTGCAAGGTATCCTCTGGATGAAATTATTTGCAGACTATCAGTTCTATGGTCTTGCTTACTAATGGATATGCATCCAGCATAAGAATTCTGACATAGAACAATGGAAACATATTAAATCTCAAAAACTGAAGGACTATTAGTTTACTGGACATCTGTGCTTATTTGTTAATTACAGTAGACTCCTTTTGCTTCTTATTAAGATTCACGAGAATTCCAGTATTAAG